TTGTCTTCGCTTTTTACGGGAAAAGGAGATCGTTTCTTCTTTAATAGACTGTTTTAAAAACTCCCACCAATCTTGGAGACACGGAAAACAAGATAAAAAACGTACATGATCATCGATTAGTTTCTCTATAGTAGCGCAAAAATCCTTATCGTTCAAAAGAGAGTTGTTAAAACACCAAACGCCTGGACCGCGTTTTACAGCGGTGGGAATATCAAAGGTAAGAAAAACAAAATCGTGGTCGGATATCGAAGAAGGGCGAATGTCACACTTAAGGTTGGGTGATAATAAATCTTTCGAAATTAAAAACTTGTCAAGTCTACTCCCAATTGACCGTGTGGAATTAAACCACGTAAATTCTCTTGATCTTGGATGCAAATTTTGCCAAACATCTTTAAGCGCAAAATCCCTTTTTAAAGATTCGTAATCTTTGTGTATAGAGATATTACCACCGAATTTATCGAGAGCGTTGTCGTAACAATTAAAATCTCCTCCGATGATAATCGCAGCAGAGGGAATAAAAAATTCGTGAACCGAAACAAGAAAACTTTTCCGTTCGGTAGGATTGGTAGGAGCGTAGATATTGACTAGATTAATATCAACGTCGTTGCACCTGATCAAAACACTGACAATACGACCTTGTGAGTCCTTCTTCCAAGATACGATTTCGTTGGAGCATTTCGAAGATATCAAGGTGACGACACCTCCCTGTTTCCCCGACGCAGGGGACCAAAAACTACGGCCCAGCCGTCTACGGGATAGAGATTTAATAGTAGATTCAGAATTAATTAACGTTTCTTGTACAAAACAGACGTCACAGTTGGACTTATCGATCAAATCAAACAAGAAATTGTAGGTAAGAGGGTTTGCCAGCCCCCCTGCATTGATGGTTAAAGTTTTGAAGGATTCTTAGAAAAAGGACTCACTTAAGAATTATAAGCTCACTTAGGTTTCCTTGACCTGTCTCTCCCCTTTTTCCTCTCGGAGGTAGGGGTCGAGAGTTCAGATGAAGATGATTTTCTTTTCAGTTCGTGACTAGTTTCCATCTCTTCTTCTGGGTTGTTAGGGGTGACCAATATGGGAGTGTGTGATGCGGTAGGTACAGGGATAGAAGAACAGGGTTTTCCGGTGACAAGTGTTGGCGCAGTAGATTTTCGGGAGCATGCAAGAGAAAATTCGTCGGGAAGTTTGGCAGGTGTTCGACGGGAAGGTGGTTTGATGGCAGATTAGATTGTGGCGATGAGTCCTTGAGAAGTGACGAGAGGTGAGTCCGTAGGGGTAGATTCAGAAGATTGGCCAGGTTGTTCAGACGGAAGATCGGGTTGCTCAGACGGAAGATCGGGCTGATTAAGTTCATTGGGCTGTTTATCAGGTAGCGGTTGAGGGGTTAAATCAGAAACAGGTTGTTCAAGCAAGGGATGAATAGGTTGCTCAGCAGTTTGTGCAGGCGGCGGCAAGAAGAAGGACAGCGGAAGATTTTCATCAATGGACGAGAAGTCCTGTTGGTCGTCCTCAATATTTACGTCAGTAGAGGGAGAGTGTTGTGGTTCATCTTCTATGTTTACGATTTCGGACTCGTCCGTAGGGGCGCCATGCACCGTTGGGAAAACCCAAGAATAGTCGCAATTAGCGCCCAGATGACCAGGCTCTTTGCATATGCAACAAAGCATTGGGTGTGGGCACTGTCGTGCCTCATGTCCGGTCTTTTCACAGTTGAAACAAACCTTATTGTTACACGTGTTGCTATAATGTCCCGGGCAATTACACCTTCGACAAGTTGGAAGTTGATTACTGTACTTTATATAGATTTGTATTTTCCCGAAACGAAAAAAACTTGGAATAGGCTTGATAACCCGAACCCTATAATGTCTTAGGCCGTTGTATACGTTTGGAGCATAAGAATGCTTTGTTCTCCGATAATGAAAAACCTCGCAGAATGGTGACAGCCGTTTGATGATAGCTAAATCCGACAATTCAAAGGGCGCGTTATAAACTGTTAAAAATGTTAAAGGCTTGTCAATATCTTGAATTGCGTAATGCTGGCTATCGATTAACATAGAATTTAACCTAAGAAATTTATCCTTCGCTTCCATGGACTTGAAAGTAACCACGACTTCTTCATTCATTTTTCGTTGTAAACATTGAATCTCCGTCGGCTCGATGTTCGAAAGAGCCAAAGCGTCGAAAACGGAGCGAGCAGAGGTTTGTCTGTCCGGCGTAAAAAAAGCCGTCTTAGGTCGTTGTGGTATACGGTTTTCGTTCTCCCAAACTTGCTGTACCAAACCATTAACCGGAATATTCCCTATTCCAGACGCACGAGCGGCGTGTGAAGCGTACGAATCTCCATTAACAGCATGTAGACTTTCCGAAGGAACATTATTTCCAGCAACGGTCGAAACAGCTTCAAAATTTCCATCATCATGTTCACCAGAATCCATAATTCCTCCNCAATGATATTTGCTTGTTCGAAGTCGAGCGCCGATTTCATGTTTTAATAATATTCCAACTCATTATCAGTTGAATTGTTATTGTTTTATTGAGCTTTGGGTCTTGATATTCGACTAGCGAGGACACACACGGCCAAATAGCCTTTCCAATCATTTTACTTTTTTAATTTCTTTGCTTAATATAAAAGCTCTTTTAAATTTTCTTTGAGTTTGAATTGCTGATTCTCGACCCCCGCGCAATGAACTCAAGCAAATAGTAAATTACGAAAAAGAATCCAATTCCATCGGTTTTCCACTGCAGTATTTTTTATCCCACTCTGTAAAACAAAGGTCACAGTGTTTGTGGAGATGATGATTTCGAGTTATTTTTTATTAAAGTTTCAATGTCACACTGAACATGTGCCTAGAAACTCGCTGACGAAAACTCAAAACTATTAGCTTGCAATTGAGAAGCTTTCAGTCAGTTTCAATTGATATTCCGTTATATCCCACCTTATCTTTCAACAATGTCTTTTCTTTTGTATGAACAGATTCTCGTAGAGTTTGGAGTCTCCAAAAAAGTGCTGACCAGCTCTGGAGAGCACCATGAAGTAATCAATGTTATTAAAACTGCTTTTAATATCAAAGAAGAGATTTTTCTACAAAAGTTTGACCAGGATTGGCAGGAGTACATTGATTTTCCAGAAGGAAAGTTTGAAAACAAAGCAAGAGTAAAGGTTATATTGAAGGTGAGTTGTTTTTCATCTTTTTCTTTTAAGAAATTATTTTTTGCTTTGTTCTTATACTTAATTGGCTTTTTAATTTAGCACTCGAATTTATTAAAACGCCTGAGTAATTTAGTATGTGTGAGAAAAATCTTCTTTTGTCTAAAAAGATTAAACTAGATATTTTCTTTATCAAAAGCCAAATAAAGAGGTTCCAGACACCCCAGCAACAGCAACACCAAGCAGCACATGTACTATATCAACAACAGGTCAGTAGTAATTTATTTATACTCTCAAGCTAATTTGAAGATATATTAATTAAACAAGTTGCTACTGTGATAATGAAATAAATAGACAGAGAGACAGCAAGAACAAACCAGTATTTTGCTTACATGTTTTGCCTATGTTCTTTTCAGCAGGTAATCCCTTAAGACAAGAGGCACAGGTGCAGGCTACTCTTCTAATCAACAATGGGAAAATCCAAGTTGGCCCAAAAGCCAAGGTTTGTGATATTAGTAATTATGATCAAATTAAATGTCTTGGGTCATTTTATAGTATTGTCAGACCCATGATGATGAATAATCCTTAGCTTGAAAAAGAAAACAATCCCTACGAGCAAGAGCCACTACAGTAAACACCCGCATATAAGAACACATGAATTAAGAACATCAGGCTGAAATTTTGCAAATAAAGCACCATTTTTATAAGAACAAAATCAGCCTGGAAATATAAAATGTTCTTATAAAGTGGATAAGACAGTAAAAAATTCTGATCACACAGAGGCCTGCTGCCAGACAACCACAGCTCATCAGCTGTGATGCTGCTTTGCATTTTCTTTTAGCTTTTTTCCCTTCAAAATAATCTACGTAGTTTATACTTGAAGGGAGACTTACAGTACTGTGCTATTCTTAATACACCTCGATTTCAACAACAAAATTTAAGAACAATTTAAGAACACCTTCAGGCTGATTTTTCACTAAACTCCCGATAAATAAGAACCTGATCAGCCTGACCTCCAAAATCATGTGTTCTTATATGCGGGTGTTTACTGTAATGTATTGACCAGCAAACGAAACGTCATATAAAACTATTAGCAGGTACCATTTAATACGTAACGAGTAAACGAAATATACAAAAACGCGTTTAAACCTAACAATTGGTATTATTTACAAGTCCGGTTTCTGCCTTTTCAAAACTTCCTTGCACTCCTTATATTATAGTTTAGTTTAACCTTACTTAACTTATTGCGTATCAGCTTCGCCAACCGGCAGGGACATCGCAAAAGCTTGCGCCAATTACTGCGGGCGGCGGTGTGTTTCAGTTTGAGGATCTGTCACGAAGCTAGTAGTTTTCAACTTAATTGGTCTGCGACCTAACTTTTACTACTGTCTTGAGCTCGAGAAAACCTCATTTATAGCAGCCGATTACATCACACTTATGTTTAAAATACTATTTCTAGTAACAAGAACATTGTAAAGATCTGTAATACTGCTATTTTAGTAACATAACATCGCCATTACATCATAGCACAAATATGCTGACTAAGGGTTCCAGAAGCTTCGTTGCAGGATCAACATATCAGCCTAACTTAAATCGTATCATTATTCTGCCAAAGAAGATAATCAGAATCATATCTAAAGTTTCTTTTGATTCACATACCAATGTTCTTTTTAAAGAACATGGGATCTTAAATTCACGGACATCTATTTCTACCAAATAGGTAAATTTATGTATCTGTTTAAAAGAGGCTTACTTCCAAATTATTTTCATGATATGTTTACTGTTGCTAGCCAGATACATTCTTATAATACAAGAAATTCCAGCTTTTTCGACATACCTCATTGTCGAACTAATTAATTTTTGAAAATTTTCAATGGCAGATATTAGATCTGAGCCCGCGTAAAAGCGGTTTTGTTTAAAGGTGCATGGAATCGAGGCACTTAGGCCAAAGGCTTTGTAAATTCTATAAGGTATCACTGTATATTTCAAAACAACTCGCATTTTCCGCTATTTTTTTACTTTTATCGACAATCTGAAGCATTCAAAAGGCAAAGATAGCAATGGTTAGACATTGTATTGCACTCGGATGCAGCAACCGGAGCGATAAATCACATTGTAAGCATCTTTCGTGGCATTCGCTGCAACTGAAAAACAAGAAACTTCTGGCGACTTAGCTAGTCAAGATCAAACGGGAAAACACGCCCGTAAGTAAAAATTCCTTTTATACAGTGAACATTTTGAAAAGTAAGGCTTTTCCAAGTCATATGCTGGCCGGAAAGTAAGTCCTAAGTCAGACTCAGTTCCGAAAATATTCAGTTTCTCCGAACAGAAAACCAAAAGGAAGGCTCCGAAGGAAAGACTTTCGATTGATGATGACTTTCCGGCCAGAATATGACTTGGAAAAGCATTTCTTTTCAAACTGTTCACTGTATAAAAGGAATTTTTACTCACGGGCGTGTTTTCCCGTTTGATCTTGACCAGCCAAGTCGCCAGAAGTTTCTTGTTGTTCAGTGGCAGTGAATGCCACGAAAGATGCTTGCAATGTGGTTTATCGCTCCGGTTGTTGCATTCGAATGCAATACAATGTCTTACCATTGTTATCTTTACCTTTTGAATGCTTCAGATTGTCGATAAAAGTGAAAAAAGCGTAAAATGCGAGTTGTTTTGAAATATACAGTGATACCTTTGAGAATTCACCAAGCCTTTGACCCAAGTGCCTCGATTCCGTGCATCCTTAAACAAAACCGCTTTTACGCGGGCTCAGATCTAATATCTGCCATTCGGTTTGAAGGTCCTAAGTTTTTCAACAAGTCGGAAAATTCAATACTCTGAAAGCAACAGCTTGTTTAGCAAAAGCTTAAAAATTTATTTCTTTCTAAGTTAAATATATTCTTTGTTAAGCTACACACCTTTTCTTTTCTTTCTTTTTTTTTAACCTAATCTAAATTTTCATTCAGCACCTTTGATTTGTATGGTGTATCCTATAGTTTAAGGAAGCCTATACTTCATAAGCCCCCAGCTTCTAATAGGCCTCCTTGCTATTACCTGGATACACCATTTTCTGCACGCCCTGAATGAACACTTCACAGAAATGTGCATAAAACCTTTGTTGAGCTTTACTTCGAATTCAACGCCTTTCATTTGAGCAAATAATAGCGTACAATTAATAAAGCATCTCTTGGACATTACGTGCCTCATAAGGTCATAATCTTTGCAAAGTACTTGTTCGTTAATTTATCAAAAGTAGCTGTCGGCCAAGTCTGAGTTTTACACTTTTTAAGCTGATAAAACGCCATGCATCAAAAGAAAGCGTTATACTGTTCCTAGTACCTTTTCTATCACAGTTAGTTCCATGGAATCCATGCCAGGGTTACACTCGCAGCGATAGGAGTTCCACTGTTACACAGTAACACAGACAGTATCATTCTTGCACGGAGTGCTATCACATGGAGACTTAGCAAAATTTGATCGAACAAAAAAACCAAAAAAAAAAAGAACTATCAGTTATTATTAAACGTCACTTTTGTTGCTAATTCTTACGTCACTTGTTTTCTGACAGAAGAAGACTCACCTCTAAAATACGCAGAATCGTAATTATAGGTAAATATCGACTTAATGGGAATCTGGACGGGAAAATATTTGGCACGAAGTCATGACGTACGGCCCGACCGCACAGAATTCTAAAAATTAGTTTCAATCTAAATAGCAAATAATGCCGGTAGACGGGTGTGCACGGGACAACCACATTAAATATCCTAAGGGAAAAAATTTTCCCTTTTTTCCCCAAGTCAGAACAAAAAAACTCACAACTCATCGGAAAATGCGTTTTTTTCTTTACGTTTTTGCAGCAAATCCATGGACCTGCTCACGTCAACCCTGCTCAAATCCTACTGAATTCCAGGAGGGCTACTATGGTAATAATCCTTTCGTACGAACGGCCGTGCATTCAAACATGGCGCTGCTGTGCAGTCTCGCTTCCTCTGCTAGTTCCCATCGAGTTTAACTGCGAGCTTTCAAACCTTTCGACATTGCTTTACGTTCCGTCCGGTTGGACGCCAGCCGAGTTCATTTTTATGGACCGAGACGAAGTCAAGGTCCATAAAAACAATCTCGGCAAATTACCTTACCCTTCAGTTAGAATATTTTCTTTTTCCTCACTTTTAACACCTCCTTATTTTAAGGTTACTGTATATGGAAACAACTCATAGCTCTCATCCCCACGCTGAATTTATATTAATCAGATTACCTTTTCCGAAAGCATGCAATTCTTTAATGGGTGGTACCTGTTTTCCAAACTATTGCTAATTGCTATGCTATGCAACAGTCTATCTAAGAGTAATGCTAATTCCTTACAACTTTTACTGCCAATCTCGGTTTTGTTTTGCCTGATCTTAACTGGTGATGACAGAAATTTTAGGTACAAAGTCATTTTGCAATGAATACATATCTCGAAGGAAAGTCCAGAATGCAAGATTTACGTAGTTAAATGTGATTTGTCAACACCACGTGACACAATGACTGGACAATGAATGATTGACAGCCCACTAGCTGCCACCTTCATGAACTGATGACCGCATTTTCCAGCAGATCAGAGCTAGTCTCCCATGCTTTAAAGTTGTATTGAAAAGTTAATATGACATGAAATACCAATCAATTTGATTGTTAGGGAAATGTTAATTTTTTTCTCCTGGCATATTATCCAACTGCTTTTTTCGTATGCCGACATTCGAACACATCGTCCATTTTTTTCCGCTTTGAAACAACGCAGGAGGGCATGGCCAACCTGTCATATAGGTTGCTCTCGTGTAACACAAACTAACCAAGTGTCCAAATAACAAGTTGCGGTTTATGATTCAACTCACAAAGCAGAGTAGAAACAACGCTCATATAGAGTACAAATATCCCGAGATATTGTATAGTTGGTTACTTTGTACTGTAAGAAACCTGTTTAACCGGTCGGCTGCGCACACTGAGCTTCTCTATCCGCTTTGCTTTTCCCGTCTTTTCACTTTTGAAAAATGAGCAGTAACACGGCATGGCTGAAAAAAAAAGCAGTTGGATAATAAATAACTTATTCGACGTTTTGGCGTGTAATTTTCTTCGTGTTATTACTCATTCACATTTTGACGAGCTCGTCAAAATACGGCACAATTCGTAAAAAATACTCAGCGATAGTACACACGTACTATTCTCGCATTCGCTCCATCGTACAAATCTTTCTTACCTTTGAACTAAAGTGATGGAAGGTGTCATTTCTAAGAAGCTTTGTAGTCGCTCTGTACTTGTCAGTGGCCAACAGCTCGCACAGATGAAGATCACTGGAGTCAAGCAAGACAGGAGAGTTACCTCTTAGTCAGGATACGCTGCCATGTTGACGGAATAACATTTCGGTTCATCAAGACAAAGGAGAGCGTAGTCCAAATGATCTTTGACCATGAACGAGGCTAGTATCTCTGCCCATAGGTAATGAACGTGATGACACTGGAATTTACCAGTATTGAAATTACCTCTTGTATTTCGATAAAGGCTATATTCATTCATGGCAAAAATAAAAAAGGTTTGGAAGAAAGCCACGAGCAGAATTTCATATAGAATCATATCAAAGTCGGAGACAACGTGGCTTGCATTCGTGGGGACTGTAAATGCAATAATTCTGCCTTGAACGCCATTAATTAATATTTATTTTTCAAAACAAGAATTAAGAGGCCGTTAAATACAACAAAATTTGTCATTAATTATTTATGAGTTCAGTTTAGGATGAATCGTTTCATATTAATGTTCACTTGAAGAGTTTCTCTCACATTTGTAATAAGCATGGCTATATTTCATTTAACTTTTTTATTTCAACCGCCACTCTCCTTTTGGAATTAAAGGGACCGCGCAGCAAGTTTTCGAGTAGGGAGGCTAAAGAAGAATGCGTGAAGGAAATTTTTTTCCGACTTACTCCGATTTGCAAAAAAGTGGGGGGGGGGGGGGCTAAAGACCCCCAGCCCGTCAATCTGCGCGGTCCCTGAATTAACGAAAAGAGGTAAGTATTAATTTATATGGGTCAAAAGTCTACTGAGTAATATTTTTAATGAACGGGTGACCACAAAGAGCGATCATTAATGATTCATTCATAAGTCACAAGGGCATTCTAGCTAAGCACGAACACAGCTTTTTCTCAGTTAAAAAAGAATCATATAAATATATGTTTTCCTACTTATTATTGTACATTTCTCATGGTATTTCTTAGAGAGAAGCAGTCTATACATTACAAAGTCATGGGAAATTTAAGAAATTCCATAGCACTTATTCCAAGAGTGTGATACCCCTGTTCATCTCTACCAGTACCATCAATTTCAGTGCCTCCAAACTTCAGTCGTAACACTGGAAGGTCAGACTTATCGGTCAGTGAACCACTGTCCTCTCTCCACACGTCATCATTCGCATCACCATTACATCCAAAACTTGGATTTGCACCTGCCCCGTTCAATCCGCATGCGCACTTATTAGTTTTAGATGATGCAGATCCTCCCCAGTACCTCATGACTTCATCGTTACGTGAGTTCGTATTTTGTGAAATCACTGCGGTTCTCTTTTTATTTGCTAAGAAATTGAATACAGTTTCCCCGGTTTTGTATTTTCAATCAAAAACGTTCTTGGCATATGCAGGATGTTGGGAGAGCGAGAGGAAACCTTTTGTGAATTCCAGAGAATCACAGGGTAGCGTCGCCTAGCAGTGGAAGAATAGCTAGTACATAGAGCCCCAAAACGAACGCACAAGCACCACGTGTAACAAACCCAAGTGTTTAATTTTATGAGATACAAAATGGAACGTAGCCAGCTAGCAATAAATAAGGTAGTTGCTGAATACTTGGTGTGATTGCGATAGCAAATGTGGTAGAATTATGTGTGTGTGGTTCGAATTAGAAGGTAACAGAAAACGAAACGAAGTTAATTAATCGACTTACAAACGATGACACGGCACAATGACCTACTCTTGAAATCAACTGAACTAATAATGAAGGAAACGATAAACTAAATCGAGCATAAACAATATAGGTAACTTACTTTGGTAGAGCTCCAAGCGTACTTGAAAAGCGCGGGTAGCGGAGGAGACAAAACAATTGTACACTGAATGGCGGAGCGCACGACCTCTTGACAGCGATCAAAAAAAGGTTCTTCTCTTTGTCGCAAGCCCGTAATATGAGCGAATGACTGACATAAATTGCGTAACAATTTCACACCAATTACAGTAATCGACTAAAATAAACCGTGCGTAGATAAACATTAACTAAGCGTAAACAATCGGTGTTTAAGCAATAATCTAAGGTACAAAGGAAATAAATAGCGTTTCAAAACTAACACCTTTTAGATCACAAGCTGTAAGGCGAGAGATTTACAATCCTTTCGAATGTTTTGTCAGCATACAAAGAGCATTCATCACCTTATAAAACCGGGGAAAATGTGTTTTACTTCTATTTTAACGAGAGAGAAGCATGAAGCTAATATATAATTTATTTGGTGATCCCTGTCGTCGGCACTCTCTAAAACCGTGAAAAGTGTGAGAAACCAGACAAAACATTTTTTGTTTTAATCTTTTGACGATGGAAATGGAAAGATTTTCTTTCTTCCGCGAGCATTGTTTAGGTGTTCCTAAGGATAATCTAATTAGTGAACTTCTCTTGTTATCAAACAACAACGTACATATGAAACATATGTATGAACTGCGGTTATGAAACGTATATGTGCACGATCCTTTGCAGTAAAGCACTATTTGAGCAATCCCGTACAGGCCAAAAATTTTTTTCAGGTCTGATTTTCACTATTGCTCAAATAGTGCTTTACTGCGAAGGATCGTGCACATATACGTTCTCTTGTTATCTTTATATAGTGAGCAAAAATTGGTCCAGGAGGGAGGATTGACCGATGAGCGAGGCGTACCTTTTTAAGGTAACAGAAAATAAGGGGTCTGGGAACGAACACACAAATAATAGTATTTTGGTATTAGAAGAAATATTAATTATTAAAATGAAATATTTGTAATGAAACATTACTGTAGACTTCAATTGCCATAAAAGCTAGTTTACACAAATAATTGGGGTCTGCTTGATACCCCCAGGAGACACTACACCTTTGTCATAATGGAGGCGGCCGAGTGAAGACTAAAACTAGTGCATGAGGACGAGGCCACCCAGTCATGGATTTGTGCACTTGTGAGCGCTTGTAAAAAAGTTTCTGGCACAATTTATTAATCCAAAAAGCTTTATTTCTCAAAGAGTCGACTACCAACATAGCTAAGGCTCAAGTTAATATGTACAATGCCATGCCACTGCTGTGTTCCTTCACGGACTACTAGGGGATATCGCGACGTAAACGGTTAATAAATATCCTACTTCAAGTTTCCCAAAAAAAAACTCGCGAGAAAGCAATGGCTTCATGCAATCCGTCGAGAGGAAGGAAAAAGCTTCAAAGTCTTGGACTCAACCATGGTCTGCTCGCTCCATTTTGAAATGGAAGACTTGAAGAAAAGTATTGCGGGAAAAATATGCCTTCAAACCAATGCTGTACTTCGCCGCGCAAAAGGAAACCTCCACCTCAAAGATTCATTGGTAAAGCAACTACTCATCAATCATCCAGGGCTTTATTCATGGTGTGCACACTCGGAAAGCAGCGTAAATGATAAATCGAATGAACAGCTAGAGAGTCAGATTACAACTGTAGAATGTAATGAAAAGAATGTCGAAAATGAGGCAAAGAGAAAAGATATCGAAACTCAGACCGATTTGATCGAGTCGAAGGTA